GGAAGCATGTGTCCTTGAGTAAGATTATCCATCTATGAAACTGTCTGTCTTTTCTTACCATCTGCCTATCTTCCCTCGCGTTCCCGTGTGTTTCTCTCTCTTTCGTGATTGATTAAGATGGAGAGGGTAGCTGGGAAAAGTGCACTACATTCAGACCTGATAAAAGAGCTTGTCAGGAGAAGCGCAAGTGCGACTGCGGGGAAGAGGAAGAGACAGAAAGAGCACGAGACAGACTGACAGATGGACCATCGAGTGCCAAAGGCCTCCGTCAGGACCAGTAGATGCCAATACTGAGCGAGAGGGGCGTAACTGTGTGTCCACTTAAAAGTGACCTTCACAGACACCTGCTGCACCAATCGCATGCGCTCATTCACGTCCAGACATTATATGCCCATTGAACACTAAGCGTCCTCAGCAGCAGGACAAGCCGTTCACCCACCCAAGGACGAGCACACGAGCCTGACGCTCACACAAACAAGCTATCCATTAAGAGCCCAGTGTAGACCTGGGAAAGGACGAGCAGACCCCCGTCCCATTACACGCCATTACTCCTCTGAACCCACACACGGAGAGGCTCCTGGGAATCTGAAGCAATTGCAATGTCCTACTCATCATTTTAGTTTGGATATATGCATATAGCTATAAGTATATTTAGGGCTGCCTCATATGGGAATTTAACATTGGGGTGTCCTGACTTATGCACCCTGACTTATTACATTTATTTATTTACAATACATTATTCATTCCATTAAGATCAATTTCCAAAAGAGGATTTTTTTAGTAAATTTTATGGGTGTGTTCACTTATGCTAAGCACTGTACGCACACTCATATTGAGATTTGTCTTACTTAATAATCTATTTATGTTTAGAGTTGGTAAAAAAATATAAATAAACATTAAAACTTAAGCATAAAACTGCACTAAAACTTAAACAAAAACTTATTACTAAAACAAAAACTTATTAGATATAACATATAACACAACTAATAACAAAGGTTACAACCATGCATTTAAATAAGAAAATACCACAATTTATGAACTTGCATGCATAATGATAATAGTAAAAATAATGATACTAATAATAATAATTTTATATATATATATATATATATATATATATATATATCTGCTTTCTAAACAAATGTATTAAAATTTACATTATTATTTTAGTATTATAATCATCATGGTAATATTTTTTTATTCTCTATTGTCATCTTCATGTTTTTACGAATTATAGTTGGTTCGCTCATGGGTGATGTTTCCAACCTGTTCAATGATCAATGATATGATAATTCAGTGATCAAAGATAATTAAAACTGCTTAAGATAATTTTTAATAATAAAATTAAAAAATAATACCCATAAAAAACACACTTGATAGATCTCTGGAACAATCCAAGACTCACAATACAACAGAAAAAAATACGAATTAAACAAAAATCAAACGTTAATTTATTAATTTTGACGGCCCTAATTTGTGTGTGCGTGTGTGTAAGCTCCACCTGGCACCATGAGGCGATGGCTAGTCCAAAGATAAAGGGACGAACGTCCATCAAGCAGGTGATTATATGGCCCTTCCAAACACATGCACACCTGCAATATTCCTCATCAGCCACAGACCGCAGGACAATGGGGGTTAATAGTCTAATTTGTTCCCGCAAGCCTGTCAATCCCATGAATCCACAGCTGAATCTCACTCGCTCCTAGTCCTATCGGCACATGTATCATACAACCATCTGGCATTACGGGTAGAGGCTGGTAAACAACACGCATGTCATGGGGAACAGCTCTTGAGTTTGTTGGCGGCGAGGATTCTGGGGAAGGGTGAGTGTTATTCCAGTGACAGGCTATGTGTCTGTGGTGTGTCCACTTGAGAACAGCATGGCAACCTATCTCTGGTGCCCATTTTGAGGAGTGTGTGATTACGGCTCGCCATCAGAGGGTGGAGTGGATGAGATGTAATCAGATGCCATCTGTAGAAATAGGATGTGAGCAAGGACAAGAGACAGAAAGAACAGAAGAGCAAGGTAACACATGATGTGGAACTGGCTGGTGTGTCCGCTGTTCCCAGTCAATATTCCCTGTACTAATCATCTCCCAAGTATTTATTATGTGCGTTATCTTTACATGTAATTTATTCCTGTGATGCAAAGCTGAATTTTCAGTGTGTCTTTCAGAATCACGTGATCCTTCAGAAATCCTTCTAATATGCTGATTTTATGCTCAAGAAAGATTTATTATCACTGTTAAAACAGTTGTGCTGCTTAATAGTTTGGTGGAAACCATATTACTGTAATGTGTCTGTTAAATAAAAGGAAATTTAAAAAAAAACATGTTGATTTTGTTTGTGTGTGTGTGATATATAAAATAATATATAATAATAATGAACATTAAAATGAGATAAAATACATTATATTTGTGTATATATTATAAGAAAGACATATAAACAAAGAAATACAGATTTTAAAATGTTCATTTGAATATTTACATTTTATGAATACATACAGTATTACACATCACCATATGTATAATATGGAGAAGTCATTAATATGATAATTCTCATAATGCCAAAATGTCATGTCTGAATATATCTTCAGCATATTTCAAGACATGTATGCAACTATCTACTGTAGTTTAAAAAAAAAAATTAATATATATATATATATATATATATATATATATAAAGAGTAGAGCGTTGGCGCTTGCAACGCCAACGCCAAGGTCATGGGCTTGATTCCCAGAGAAAGCAAGAACTGATGAGAATGTAAATGTGTAGCTTGCAATGCAATGTAAGTCGCTTTAGATAAATATATGTAAATATATGCATATATGTAAATTTGTAAATATGTAGTGTATATATTTATTTATTTATATACTGTAAATATATGTGAGTGTACATGGGTAGTTTTTACTATTCAAGTACATTGTAGCATATTTATCAGGAGATATGTTATACATTAAACATTTGAATGCAGCATTAATATATACATAAAGCATACATAATTTACATTAGCTTTTTTAGGCACTTGCTCTTTCTTTCTATATTTATATGTAGAGAGAGAAAGAGACCTTAAACCTGATTTCAACAGCATTTGAATCAACCGGTCTCATCCACACACACTCTCTGTCTTCCTCGAGGTGGTTGTAATTGGTCATCTAAGGAGGGTTTTCCCCCCAGTAATGAACTTTATAGGTGACTCTTAACCTTTAACCCCTCGCTCATCCCCACTGAAAAGAGCATCATAGCTTTGAGCCGATAAACAGACGAGATGAGACACATAGAGAGAGGGTGAGTGAGAATGACAGGTTTCTAATGTGATGCCAGTTGAGATTGGATTCTTCATTAGGCCAATTACGGGCCGCTGAAGGGGGAGAGCGCAGCGGTTTGGGACCGGGAGGTGGCGAGATGCTCACCTGATTAAATAGAAAAATGACTGAAGAATTACAGCAATTTACTCAGCCGAGGCTCAACCTGAGCAAGACGCTGGAGCAATTAACAATTACTGCACATTCATTGCTTAGCACAGATGTTAATTGAACATGCTATTCTACTCCAGAACAGGACAGAGCGTTGAGCAGGTTATTCTACAGATACCGTACTCTGACCCAGCAGGCAGGAGGACCTGTTAAACACACAGACGTCTGTTTATACCTGTATATTTTTAATCAAATTTATATATAAAAAAAATTCTAAACTTTATAGCCTACCCCAGTTTTAAAATCCCTGCACTAATCGGTTCCCACTCAACCAAATAAATAAATCTTAAGGCACAGATTTTACAATTTGCCAAACTAAAAAAAGTCTGTGCATGGTAGACTACTCTAGGTTCTGTCGTTTATATGAGAACAAAGTGGAAAGGCGAGAGGAGGGATTTTATTTCCCAGTTCAGCAGACTGAGGAGTTTGTATATGGTTATGAGGCTGTGGCTGGAACTCCAGTCATTTGAATAATGTTTATGCATAAAGGACAAACACATTGAGGTGACAACAAATATTGAACACTCATCTTTGCCCTCACCGTAAGGCTGAGAAATATATCGAATATGCACAACGATTCCATTTGAATCTACATAAAGTTGATCTAAATGTCTCATGTTTATATTTAGCATTCTTATACCAAAGTTCACATGCTATT